GCTCAATGTATTTGTTTCTTCCTTTGAACTTGTTTCCTTAGGTTGCTGAGATCCTGTTCTTTCAGCATGTAACTCTGAAGATTTTTTCCTAAAGCACGTGATGACTTATTCCCACGACGTATTCTGAATATGGCTGTGCAATAACAGTCGGGTTCCTATCCCTTATGGTCTATTATTCAGTAGACCTTGGATCACCATGTTGCCCTGCGTGGAAAACTAATTTAATCTTCTCAAGATGTTATAGCTAGGCATGCATCCACGTCTCGATCATCTTGACTTATTCGATTGGTATAATTTATGTGCTGCATGTACTTCTGCGTAGCCACTAGGAATTTGCTTCATAGTAAAGAAATCAGCTACACTGAAGTCTTGTGCAGTCGTGCTAACGATCGTTTCGCAATTGAGGCCATCGCACTCACTCGCAGTTCATTCACACGCTTGTGAACGCGCCATGAGGTTCATCAATTGGAAATCTGATAACATGCGGCAGGCATATTCATGGATAATGTTGCCAGCTGACCCTTGGCTCGCATTTTCTCAGCAGGGGTAACCATTTGATGACATCAAATTTATCGTGTTGATCCAGTATGATGAAACCATCAGCGTACTGCAAATCTTCCTACTTGTAGTAAATTATCACTTCACATTTCGCATCACTGCTATTGAAATGCCTGTGGCAAGGAACACGGTTTTTTTTGTTAAAGGGATGTTGCGCTCAACGAGCTTAAGCCTACGACCCTCTAGAGACTGGCGACGAACAAAGTTGCTTGACGCCCCACAGTCGACTAGGTCAGAAGTGACAAATAAAACAAAAGTTGCAACTTAAGATGGTGAGTGAAATCTCAGCACCAGATGCAGAGATACACAATGATCGTGTATCGAGAGCAACTGTCGTCAAGAAAATTTAAAACTCGATTGAGGTTGCTGGTTCAGTGTATCACTACGCCTCAACAAACACCAACCATTTTTAGTATTCAGCTTTGCTGTTGCGGATTCGCAACCATGTTGGACCTAATCCCATTGTCCGGTTTAATAAAGAGCCGATCATTTCGCTCAGTATTGTATTATTCTGGGTGTAAAGAAATACACTCGTAAGCGTGGTGTTGCAACTTCTGGTAGTGATTGCAGCTCTTTAATCGCTCGTTGTTTTGAAGTGTGATCTTTCTTGCTTTCAACGTAACAGAGGTCCATTGGTTTTGAACCTCCGGTATCTTGTCGTCGTGGTGAAAGAAAAAGCCATAGCTAACATGCGTCTGTTTCATGCTAAAGTATTCCTGTTCCGAAGCTTAGATTGCTTGTTCAAGCGTATGCAACTCTAAGTGAAACAGGCGGTTCCTGACGGGATTATCTGCGAGCCCTTTCATGAACACAGTTATCAACCTGTGTTTATGTAATGAATTAGCAGCTATACTACTCGCGAGGAGTAGCAAATGTTAAGCAAAAGCGTGCACATCACGCTTACACTGATTGAGTTCAGAAGATCAGGTCAAATCCTGAACTCTTATCTCGTGGCGGCTCAAAGTATGTTTGAGCCGGGTTTTTGAAGACCCCCAGAGACTTATAAGCCTATGTGTCGCTTATCTTCAGCCCTGAGGCCAAAGTATTGGCACGTCCCGCCAAGTGGGATTGAGAAAATGTGAGTTTTATTTGCCCATCGTCGACACGTCGTGCCTTTATTTATGTGTCTAGTTCGACCAAAAATAACAACATTGGGTCTTCCTAGACTCCTCTGTACTCGGAGATGTCAACCTTCATGGTTTTGGGACGACTCGTGTGTGTCACCCCGCCTGCAGAAGCATTGAATAACTACTGCATTAGCAGCTTTATCTGTTAGGATACGAGTTCTCCCAATATATATCTCGGCATGTTGAGAACCTTGCTGGTGAAGAAAGGCTACTTTCTCTGTTTCAGCGACAATTTCATCTTTAATGAACCTGGATGTAGAGGTATGTTGTTGGTCACTGTCGAAAGACTCCATCATGGCGCTAATGGCAATACTACTACGGTAGAACGCAAACGGCCTACCGTTTTACACTCGGTACCACGCAAATGGGTAAAGTCTTCTCGCGTGGCGTATAAGCTCTCCTTCTCATCCAATTTGTTCATGTTAGATGAGGTAATTGTCGTCTGTAGACGGACTATAAATTGTTATCAGGTGCAATAGAGCACTCCCTTACCAAAGGACTGGAAAAAATTTGTGCTGACTGAACACAAGGCTGCGTGCTCCCGACGTCACGTACACGAGGCGTGAGGAAGCGCAGCGAAGTAGACAGAACTGAGAGTTCTGTTTAGGTAGTTAGTAGAACTGTATTTAACGTAGTTTAGCTTCTTTGTAATAGGGAGTTAGTAGGACTGTAGTTAACATAGTTTACCTTCTTTGTAAATCATATTTGTCTTGATCTGACTATATTAAATTACAATCTCTCATGTGCATTGCTTGCACACCACCTATTGCGCTCGTCCGGCAGCGATTGGTGGCTAGTTTGGTTGATGCCGTGTCTACATCTAACAAAAAGTAGAGCATCCCGGAATTCTTACTCTCGGGGGTAATATTCCGCCAACATCACCTCTTCGTAAGTGATGTCCATTAGATGTTATCTAATTGGGTATTATTCAAAAATTGATCCATTCGTCTTAATTTTATGTAATGGGCTCATCCCGATACAAGAACTGTATTTAATATAGTTAATCTTGTGTCATTCAAAATTTAATTAGTCTTGAGTTCACGAAATCTTGATAGTAACATGCATTGTAACTATCTGCTAACCACTCATTGCGTTCTTCTGTCGTGGCTCGGCATAATTGATTAGTATCGTAAATTTATGTCGACCAATGAGCAGTGCAATGCTTCTGCAACACAATATTACTCATTTAGCCAGTGTGGTGAGAACATGCTGTTTGTCATAAAATGACTTAATATTCAGCTTGCGTAAACTATCACGGAGGCACTCTGTCACATAGTGTGAATGAATATTCTACTTCTGTAGCGAATGCCACACGCACGCAGTTTACAATTTTTTTGTCTACATGCCATACGACAGAGCCAACTAAAAGCTTTCATCAAGTTCAAATAAAAATTCGCCTGTGCATCCCTCGATGTCGGTCCGCGTAGCCAAGATCTCTTACTTTTCGAGCATTACCTCAGTAACTTTGTTGTTGTTGAGGTATCCCCCGGTCCGTAGACCGAAATAGACCAAACAGCGATATCCAAGGATGGATTCCCAGCTTTGGGAGCCACTATTTGGCTTAACTAATCGACTCGCCCCCACATGTGTCGATCCATGAACCTCACGGTCCCGACGCCTGTGATCATCCACTCGGCCACAAGGATCGACCATCACTTAAGTTAACTGGCGTGTGAAATTCGACACAAAATACTTCTTTCTTGTTCAAGCGTGCTTCCCCTCCGTAGATCGCACAAGGCGAAGCAAAAAAATATCAGCAGAAGCAAGAAAGGAATTGTTACTGTTACGGGGCACCCTTTGTTTGGGTGCCACTAAACTTCACGTACACTAGTACGTGCAGAGAAAGCTAATCTATCCAAACAGCTAGTTTGAGTAAAGGGTAAAAAGAGAACTGTATTTGGTATAGTTAAGCTAACAATATAACTTAGTCTTTATCTAACTATATTAAACTACGTCGTCGTATGACGACGACCTGCTCACCACTCACTGTGCGCGTCTAGCAGCGATTGGTGGTAATCTATGGCTGATATGGCTTATATCAACCAATCTTGGAGCAGCGCATGAATCTTATTCTAAAAGGGGGTAATATTCCTTCAGTATTACCCATAACCGGATAATACTGGTAGGACATCGTCATGCTAGACAATTTTCCAATTGACACCGTTTGGTATCAATATCATGTAATGGGATACCCCGTTACATCACCCCCTTAACCATCAATCACCCGTTGATTGAATTAGAATCGATTGGGACAGGGTGACCACGGTTGGATCACTCTGGGAAAGGGAGCACTTGTTGGTCAAATTCCATTCACTTGCCAATCCAACGCATGGTTTCAAAAAACCAAGCGAGTTGCTACTGCAGCAGCAAGACGGGCGGATGTACGCATGCGTTCAGCCGCGGAAAGTGCCTCTCACGCCTCAGCAGCAGGTGATTCGTCGCCTGTTGTTGTGAATTGTCCACGTGGTGAGTCACCACGTGCGACAGGTACATCCGTTGCGTCTGCAGCGGGTACCTCGAATCGTAATCCAGACGAGTCTGAAATAGAGCTCATCTATTCTGACGAGTCGGATGATGCATCCGGCTCGAAGGCGACTCCACACGCCTCGGGATCACCCGGGGCGGGCGCTGCAAAAGCCAGGCTGACTGGCTCTGGTCAGCGCGGCAGCATCATGACCGAGTGACTACTCCGACGAATCTCTGTCTCACGCAAGTCCATCCAACGATAGGACGCGTGGAGATGGTCGTGATGCACCTATACATCACCACGAGCGAAGTAACTCAAGGGATCGGGGTATCACTGGTGTCAGCGCTCACGCTGGCTCCAATCAAGAGGCCAGGGACCTTAATGTCCTGCGCCACGCTCCTCAAGTGGAGTTTCCTTGGATGTCGTCATCCAGAGAGTTGGAACGGTTGACCGGCACGACTACCGAACGGGATCAAATCCCGTTGTTCGGCTGTAGGAAGATCTGCCCGCCTATCTCCAGCACGGAAACTACCCGTGCTGAGGAAGAATTCTTCACCGATGCATTTTTTAATTATCGGTGGTACAATTACAGCCATGTTCGAGACGTTAAAGCCTTGGTGCAAGGATGGAATGCCCTCATCCATAACATCGAGTGCATTGGCCGTGAGGCCTGGCCCTAGCCAAACTTGATGCATCTCGCATCACGTTTGAGATACGCTACCCAGTCGGTGTACGGTACAAGTTGCACCGGCTTCCAAGAGAGGCAGGATTACCCTGTCTCTCGTGGGGTGATTCGTGTCCAGGTTGCCTGGAAAACTCGAACCGTGCTCCTGGAGAGGCCTTCCTCCCTAATGATCCCTACTGGAGGGCGCGCATCTCTTCTGAGATGGCCGAAGGGATTGACACTTTGCAATCCCTGTACTCGCGTTCGGGGAGGTCATTTTCCGACGGCCCTTTTTCGAACGCAGCGGGTGGGTCTCGTCATACTGCTCGACGAGACCGAGGACATCAACAATCATCTGGAAACGAGGCTTCCAGCTGTCCCACGCCGGTGGATAGCCACGCCAGTGGACGAGGTAACTCGTCCGGACGCCATTCACATCGCAATGGCTCAAAATAAGCTTTACCAGGAAGCGTTGACCACCGACTGAGTCCACCAAAGGATGTGGTGGCGGCGGGAAAACCTGATCCGGCTCGAGGGTTGGATCAGCTTGACGTTCAAAAGCTGAACCGTGTAACGGAATAGTTGCAAGATGACCTGGCTCATGAACGATCTTGGCGTTATGGGCTACATGATCTTGTGAGGGATAATTTCAATTCCCTAACGCACGATCGTTCGGAAGATCGTGCCGCTTTTGCGTTCGCGCAACTTGAGAAAGAAAGTTCGACTCGTTCTCTTCGTGATGAGCTGGCTGCTGCTCGTCGAGACATCGCTGAGCTGCGTGAACAGGTCGCTTCGCTAGTCGACCAGACTGGCTCGTTGAAACATGACCACTCGAGGGTCGTCTCGGCTCTCGACCGTGGAGGTGTTCTTCGCATCTCGAAACGGGCTCGTACTGATAGTACGGGCGGAGACGACCGGCGTAAAACGTAGGATGCGTACGTATCTTACGGGACAGTTCAATCGTGTATGCGTTGCCCATTCGGCGCAACACACGAAATGGACCGATGTACTTGGGCAGTAATTTACTGCTGCCCACGTTCGTCACTGCGTGTTTTGGTAGGTTTACTGTAGACAGTAAAACTAGGTCTCTTGCATCAAATGAAAGAACATTTTCTCTTCCTTGTTTGTCTGCGTTTCGCTTCTGTCTGTCTAACGCATCTTCAATAGAGTCTTAAACGAAGCGTACAACCGCTTCGCGAGTCAGCAGAAATGCCTCTGCTTATTCGTCCTTGTCAACAGCAGTGCGCTTCGTGTGCACTGCTGAAAGAACTTTGTCTTCACCAGTGAGGGTATCATCGTCCTCACTTTGGCGGTCATTGGCGATGCTGAATATGCCAGCATCGTCGTCATCGTCATCATCGACATCGATCGCATCGACCTCGGCATCTATCGCGTCGACACCATTGTCGACGGGTGATGAGCAAGAACCAGATCGGTTTTTGTTCGAGCGAGTCCACCCCCCCTTAAACTAGAGTCACAATATAACAAGGCGGGTAAACGTGGATGGCGTAGGCCATTCACGAAGAACGGTGCATGCGTTGTCGACGCGTGCACCGAGTTGTTGATGGCGAATTCCGCCATCGGCAAGAACTCACTCCAGCTCTGAAACGAGTGGACATACCCTCGAAGTATCTCTTCGAGGACGCGGTTGACGCGTTCCGTCTGATCATCTGTTTAGGGATGGTCAGAAGTTTACATCGTCAAACGTGTTACAAGTGAACGGAACACGGATTGCCAGAACTCCGCTGTGAAGCGGGGGTCTCGATCAGACACGAGTTCACGGGGTAACCCATGAAGTAGGAAGATAGTATAGATGAAGACACGCGCACAGCCCTGGGCTGTAATTGACTCCGGTACAGCAACAAGATGTACCATCTTGCTGAACCGATCAACACAAGAATACCCGTATTCTTATGAACGTCTTTGGGAAAATCGAAGACGAAGTCTATCGATACGGACTGCCAATACTCTGCCGGAATCGGAAGAGGCTGTAAGGGTGCGCGGTATGAAGGACTAGGCTTCACCCGTTGACAAACTTTGCAAGCGCGAATGTACTTCCGCACAAACTCATATTGGCGGGGCCAGTAGAAGTCACGACTTGCCGCGAGTTAAGTCTTTTCTCTACCGCGATGCCAACTTGTTGGGGCATCGTGACACTCATACATGATGCGCAATCGCAAATCATCATGAGCGGGAACGACAACACGAGGTGTGTCGCCGTTGGCTGCTGTATATACAGCAGTCTATCACGAACAGAAGACCGTTCGGTTGAAGAGCTGTATTAAGACGTCAAGATTTTATAAGCTTGACTGCATAAATTAGATACTTAATCCATCAATCGCAGAAGATACTCATCTTCTGTGTATGCTTTCCGCACGTCGTCGAGCAGATTCGAAGATGGAACACTCACTGATAGTGTTGCGACAGCGGGATCACCCCCTACTGTTGGGTCGAGCAGTCGGCTCGAAATCGGGCCAACGCGAAAGAGCATCAGCGACGACATTAAGTCGTCCTGGTTTATACTCGACGGAGAAATTGTACTCCGCGAAGAAAGACAGCCACCTCGCCATTCGTTGCAAGAGGTGTGGACTGTTTACGGCCGTGCGTAACGACGCATGGTCGGTATAAACGATGAAGGGCCTATCTCCTAAGAGATGTAACCGAAACTTAATCAGTGCATAGTTCATGGCAAGGAGTTCCTTGTCATGAACCGGGTCATTACGCTCAGCTGCTTGCAGATGACGCGATTGATAACAGACGACGCGCTCAACGCCGTCTGAGTCGTACTGCATGAACGCCAGCCGATTGCAAAATCGCTGGTGTCACAGACCACATGAAGTGGCCTACCCTGATCTACAATCGCCAACACAGGCGATTGTATCAAGTTTTTTTTTACCTTCAAAGGAGTGCTGACACTCAGCGCTCCACGACCACCTCTCGTCTTTCTTTAACAAACGAGAGAGATGTACGGTCATCCTTGGCGTAGTTGCGCGAGTACTTGTGCAAGTACGCCTCCAAGCCAAGGAATTTTCGAAGTCCCTTGACGTCGACTGGCACAGGCCAGTCGCTAATCACCTTGATCTTTTCCAAATCAGGGAGTACGCCGTTTTTGCCCACGATGCAGCCAAGATGTGGTATTTCGTCCGCTGCGAGTATGTACTTCTTGAGGTTCCCGAAAAACTTTTGCTCTCGCATTAGCGTAAGAACCTTCCGGACTTGGATTCTATGAACCTCCACGTCCGTCTTTCTGTCCATCGCCCGGCTATGGACGAATACATCGTCATAGTGACTCGGTGCAAAGTCGCGCACCGATCGCAACAGATTCGTAACACATTCGTTGAACGTTTCAGGGGCGTTACTTGGACCCTGTAGCATCACTAGCCACTCCCACAGCATACAACTGGGGGTGCTCACTGCTGTGTAAGGGATATCCCGTTCACGCATGAGGATCTGATAGAATCCATCATCAGATCCATGAACGAAAAGATGGTACTTTTTTCCATACCGTCAATGATGACGTCCTTTCTCTGTATCGGCGTCCAAGCTGGTACTGTTGTAGCATTCAGTTTGATGAATGCGTGCACTATCCGCCACCCTCCTGTGGCTTTTTGCACACAGAAGGTAGGAGAGCTGTGTGGGGATGCTGATTCCCTCACATGACCAGCCTAAGCGATCAGCAAAGAATTTGTCGATCGATGTGACCTGTTCACGAGGCAGTGGCCACTGCTTCATGACACAGTATTTTGACCCAGGTTTCAGTTCGATCTCATGCCGAGTGCCTTTGTCCTTGGGCAGCTCGCATGGCACGGATTCCGGGAAAACATCCTTGAATTCATCCAAATCCTTGTACAAAGAATTTGTCTTCAAAGACTCCCAAGATTGAGACGTGTATAGCTCAATTCGAGTCTTCTCATCGAGGACACTCTCGCTCATCGATGAGCTACTGAGAACCCGTTCGTTCTCAGCAAACACTTGGGCCGACCGAATAACGGCGACGAACTCGTCCTCTGTGACGAGAATGCAGATCTGCTTGATCTTGTCACTTCGCAGATCTCGCACGAATCTTTTAGATTCTAGCGTTGGCAACTTGACTACCTTTGAAGCTGACTTCGGGGGTGCAACCAGATCAAGTGTATAAGCGCCTACACTTGATCCGTCATTCACCAAGACATTCACTGTCTCGGTGATTTCCTGGGAAAGCACGTCCGCAGGTAGTTGGGGATCCATACCCTCAACATAACTTTCTCGGGAGTGTTTGCTCTCAGGAACGCCGGAACTTTCTTCCATTATGTGTACTGACTTTGAGTGTACTACCACGGTCACGTCCACTTCGATCGACTCTCTTTCAGTCGATCGGGCTCGCTCTACGATCGACTCTCTGTCAGTCGATCTTGCTTCAACGTGTTGTTCATCCTGAACAACAATAGTCTCTCTTCTCGAATGCACCCTTCTTAGTGTGCATCCGTGTTCCAGTCCACTCGATCTCTTCGAGTGGTGAACCTTCGGCGCAGCCTGTGTCTCTACACAGGTGCCGGAAGCTGGTTCCACAGTGCAGTGGCCTTCTACACTGTGATCTTGTGCAATCGCACTAACGACCGTACCACAAGTGAGGCCATCGCACTCACTCGTAGTACATCCACACGCTTGTGGACGCTCCAAGACGTTCATCAGATGGCCATCTGATAAACAAACAGCAGGTATCTTCACGAATCGATGCTGCCAGCTAACCCATGGCTGGTACTTTCTAAGCCATGTCAGAGCGAGGATGACATCAAATTTGTCATCCAAATCTAGTACGATGAAGTCATCATCGTACTGCTTTCCTTCTAGCGTGTAGTGGATTCCCAATACACGTTTGCCCACTGTTACGGATGCGCCTGTAGCAAGGCACACCGTCATCCTCGTTGGAGGGAACTTTCGCTCAACATAGTTCAGCCTACTATCCTAGCGATCGGCGTCAAATAAAACTGTTCGACGCCTCATGGTCAACTAGGTCGCTAAGTGACATTTCACTTGTCACTTCGATCTTCAAAGTGATGAGAGACTCCTCATCACTAGGGGCAGTAACACATAGAGACTGCGTGTTGGGAGCAATCTTCGTCAATAGTCCTGCAAATTATCTTGACGTTGCTGGATCAACAGGGTGCTCCGTTCCTACTGACCCTGACCGTTTTTGACGGTCCGACTTGCTGTCGCGACTTAGCGACATGGTCGGACCCACGCCGTGGACCTTTCCTTGTCCAACGGTGGTCATCACGTCCTGTCTCTGGACGTGTTGCGGTGCTTGGGACACTACACTCATGACCGTAGTGTCCAATCTTCTGACAGCGATGACATCTTTCCGTTCGCTTGTGACTCAAAGAGCGAGAGTTCTCGCTCTCGATGTAACAGAGGTCCATTGGTTCGGGACTTCCTGTTTCCTGTCGCCTCGTCGGACGATAGTTGGGCGAGGGAGCCTGAGACTGTCTCAGACTGAAGTCTTCTTGTTCCGCATACGCTATCGCCCTTTCCAGCGTATGGAAATCCTCTCGGAACATTTAGGTCTTCACCGGCCCATCCACAAGGCCGTAAATGAACACGTTGATGAGCGTGTGCTCATCAACAGGGTTCTCCGTAACGCGACTCGCAAGGTAGCGTAGGTTTTGTGCATAAGCGTGCACGTCACGCTTACCTTGCTTGAGCCTCAAGAGTGCAGAGCGTGCTCTGAACTCGGCTCTCGGTGGCTCAAACGTCTCTTTGAGCCGAGACTATAAGATCTCCAACGACTCAAACACGTTTAAGTCGTGAGGCTTAAGCCCTAAGGCCCAAGTCTTTGCTCGTCCCGTCAAATTTGACAGGGTGAGGGGTGACTTGCATCTCGTCACCCTCGATGTGATGGGCTCTGATGGCGTCGTCTAACTCGACGAACCATCTCCAAAGAAAATCTTCATCGGTTCCCTAATACCTTGAGATATTAATCTTCAAGGTTTCGGGTCGACGCATGTGCGTCGGCCCGCCCATCGACTGGTGAGAGCCTTGCTGCTGTAGCAAGGCTATCTTCTGTCGTTCGACGGCAAGTTCCCCTTTCAGGAACTTGTTGATAGCAGCATGTTGCTGGTCTCTGCTTAGAGACTCCAACATACCACTGATGGCGGGTTCGCCCATGAGCAAACTCATACGGCCGACTACCTCCCATTCTGAGTCACTCAGATGGGAGTAGCCTTCACGTGTGAAGTGAAAGCTGTCGTCTTCTACGTCCAACATGTTCATGTTGGACGGACACTAAGTAGTCGTTGGACGGACTACGAAGTGCTACCAGGTGTAACGGGGCACCCTTCGTTCGGGGTGCGCGAAACTTCACGTACACTAGTACGTGCAGAGGAAGCTAATCTACTCTACAACTATGTTGAGTAAAGGTAAAAAGAGAACTGTATTTGATATAGTTAACCTACCAATATAACTTTAATCTTTATCTAACAATATTAAATTACGTCGTCGTATGACGACAACCTCATCGCCACTCATTGCGTGCGTCTAGCAGCGATATGTGGTAATCCATGGTTGATACGTCTTATAAAACCAATCTTGGAGCAGCGCATGAATCTTATTCTAAAAGGGGATAATATTCCTTCAATATTATCCACCTCAGGTAATATTGGTAGGATATTGTCAAGCTAGTCAATATCATGAAACGGCCTACCCCATTACAGTTACAGTCTGCCCTGCTCTAGACGCACCTTCCTTTGCTAACGATGCATGACCACCAATGTATAGCTTCCACGCTTCGACCACTGAGTCCAGACAGCAAATCTGCCGCTAGGTGTATACTGGGAACCTCAAAAGCTGATTACTTGTGCTGTAACTTCTCGACTCGTTCGCGATATTCGACTTTTAGTCAAGTTCGTAGCAAAAGTTACCTGATCGACCTTGTCTGTCTCGGTGAATGCTCCTTATTAAACACCTTCCTCGGTATTGTTGCCTGTTTTTTCTCGTCCTTCAAGCTTTGTTCAATGTCGCTGTCGCCCAGTTGTTGTCCACCCAGTCGTAGCCGTCGGAGGGTTTCCAGCATTTTCCCGTGCACGTCGTTTCGCTTGAGTTGCTCATTATGTTGTGCCGCAACACGACGGGCTCGATTGACAAGACGCGACACGCAAATTGGTGTCGAGGACCAAATTGAGTGTCGCAGCTGGTCGGCCAACTCGGGATGCCAACGCCTGGGCTGAACGAAGAAGTAAAGTCTCCATTGTCGCTCTTTTGCCGCTTCTAAAGCTCATGAAATACAGAGTACTGCGACGAATATCGAGCGCTCGCTTGTGTTTGCAAATAGATGGCCTGAGCTTCAGTTGACAGGTAAGATCACTGATGTCTGATACAGCTGCAGCTGCAGTAAGTCGCTGGGATCGCCATGGATCGCAGAATTAGCTCGCTTACTAGTAGAGTCAAGCAGTAACATACATGCAAGTGTGGAGTCCAAAGCATCACATGAAAGCCTCGGACGTGGTAGGTTTGGATCGCGAGCCAAAGAGCGAAGAGGCTCGGAAGTCCGTGTTTAATGTCAGAGTTTAGTAGACGTCCATCGCGAGACAAGGATAAGCTAACCGACCACAATCGGACTATCCAGTAGCAACAGATCCAGCGCTCTGTTGACGCGCTAGCAGCAGTGGTACCGCTCGACATGGAAGAGACGCATATCTTGCACATTTACCATGCGCAGTTAGTCACACATACGGCGAAACGCTCACGATCGCTGGACGTTTTGTGGGTCTTGCAAATATTTGGCACATCATGCGTAGACTCTTCAGGTCGTCTGAACGCATTCATAATTCATTGCGCAAATGTATGCAAACACGACGAGATGACGGCTGCAATTGCTGTCGGCACGTGTTTGATTAGCGTCCATTTTTGTGTTGCATTCGTGCGTACGCGCCATCTCACAAGCTTTCGTACCTTTCATTAGCTGTCGCCGTTCCGAGTTTATTTCTCGGATGTGATAACATGAAGAGAGACTTTTAGTTTCTCACACGAGGTTCTGCAGCAAAAATAGACTTGCATCGTGGTGTCATCGCAGTAATTGAAATACCGATGTCAAGGGACTGCCTGGACCTCCTCACAAGCACATGGAGACTGCAACGGTAGAATAACACCCGATTCTGGCCGGCGGCTCGCATAATGATCACAACCCATTTGTTCTCCTTATGACAAACTCTGCTCATACTGCACCTCCCCTAGCTGTCGCAACCGGCCGATGATTGACACCGATACCAGCAGACTAAAGTTACCATAATAACACTAGATAGATGCTGTCAAAAGACAGAGCACCAACGATTCTATTCCACGACCTAAAGCCTCAAATGTCTTTGGCCGAGTTGCTTATTTGCTTCCCCAACACGGCATAACCGCCAGTGCCTTCCTGACGTGCACACCATCTATTACTTACTTGAACACCTTCGAGTCAGCAATGGGCTTGCCTTCAAGCTCGTCTTCGTTGCACCAGTAGGCGGTAATGCGAGCTTTTGTCTCGTCGTTCAGCTCCGCCTTCTTCCATGTGTAGTACTCGGCATCCGGGTTGGCCTCAATCATGTGCTTCTCCGAGTCGCCACGGAAGAGCCAGCAACCCGTAATGATGATCTCTGAACCCTCAACACCGCACACATCCATTACACCAAAAGCGTACTTGCGCATAGCTTCCGATCGCTGCAGGAAGCCGCCCACGGCGTTGCACGTCATAAACATCTTTGAGTTCTCGTTGTTGTAGTTGTAGTCGCAAAACCACAGCGAGTACCCCTCCGTGTCCAGGTTCTCCCAGAACCACGTCATGGCGTCCGCCAAGTTCTTTGCATTCGAGTACTGCACCTTCCACGCGTCCAAACTCATCGACGATGGCTTCTCACGGTTCAGCACAGCCAGCGGGTGCTCGACCTTCTTGGGCTTCGGCTCCTCCTCCTTCGGGGCAGCCTTCTCTTTCTTCGGCGTCTCTTTCTTCTCCTTCTTGGCCGAGTTGTCACCCTCAGCAGTTAGTGCCACGTCAATAAGCGGCACATCACCAACGACAGCCTGGAACTCTGGCTGGTTCACCAACGTCGAGAACCAACGGCTCACAGCCGAAAACGGCTTGCGGAACTCCTTGTCAAGCACGAACTTGAACGGGTACACAAGAGCTGACGCAACAACAATGTCGGCCAGCGTCACCTGCTCACCCACCAAATAAGTGCGTAAATGCAGGTGGTTCTCAAGGGTCTGGAGCGCTTTCTTCACGTCTGCCTTAGCGCGCGTCAGGGCAGCAGCATTGAACTGACCAACCCCGAGGATAGGGTGCACCCACACCTCCAGAGGTACCTCCAGCTCGTACGCAGAGAAGTCAATCCACGCGTCCACCTGACCTGACTCGAAGAACGTCTTGCCGTACAGACCCGTGTCTGGACGCAGACGAGCGACATAGCGAGCAATGGCACCGCTCTCAAAGATACATCCCTCCTCTGTCTCAAGGACCGGGACCTTGCCAGCTGGTGTCTTGGCCTTGAAACTGGCGGATTTAATGTCCTTGTGAAAGTCAAAAGCCGGCAGCTCAATGTCAATGCCGTTGTACTCGGCCGCAACGAGTACCTTGAACACGCGGTAGTTGGCTGGGTACGTGTAGAGCTTCTGCTTGACATGGACAGCATCAACAACAAGACATCAACACAAGACGTGAGTGCTTCAGAGACGCTCAAAGGGCAGCGAAACGTGCAGCAATAACGCAGCAGCAAGGAGCACGTACCATTGGCAGCGAGCGAACTGGATCCGGCACGAAATGACAATGCAAACGACTGGCGGGGCGGGGCTGAGCAATCTATTGCAATAGTTGCAAACGCTAGTCGAATATTTACACCAGATATTTTGTACTCGTATCCTACGATCTCATCGGATAAAAGTCCGGTCAGATGTTTTCACCCAATAGCGTCTCCTCGCACTGGTCGAAAACGTCCCGAAATAATGCGTGCGTCGAATTCCGCTCGCTCTCGCACTCTCTGCCAAAATCCAGACAATCTGCTCGGTTCGTGTCCAGAAACGAACTGTCTCCGTTCGCACGAAAGTCGCACGAGTTGCGCCAGCGAGCGACCGCCAAATGCCACGGTGCTGCTGCAACTTACGCGCAACCTGCGCTTGCAAAACCTCCCCCCAGCGCTGGCTTCCTCGCACACTCGCGCCACCTTCGCACAACCCAGACGAAAGCACTTCTAAAGTCGACGGGAAAGACTCGGCCGCCTGCTCCCGCTGGAACGTCCGCCCTCCTGCCGTCGCACCGTCGTCGCCGCCCATACAGCGATCAAGAGAAGAAGGAGAAGGAGAAGAAGAAGAAGAAGCAGCCTAGACGACTGTACACAGCTCGAGAGACAGCGCCACGTGCTCGTGGTTCATGGTGAGCCGACACAAACGCGACAGCAGCGGCCTCCGCGTGTCGGAGCGCGAGCCAATGGACACGAGCGCGTCTGGAACGAGTGCTGTGCCACATAAAAGGTACTCGAAGCCACGACGGCCGCACGTTCCGCCGCCGCCGCCGCCGCCTCCCATTTCTTCCGCTCAGTTTGGCCACGTTGATAGTAAAGTGGAGACCTCGGGGCGTCAAATGCCAGGCAGTGAAATGCCGTATCACACGCGCACGGACGGCGTGATGAACGCGAGCGAGTTGTTTCCTACTGGGATGAGTGAAGCAGGGTGCGTGGCTTGACTTGGCTTGGTTTGCCTGCTTTATTTGGCGTAGGAGGACGGAAGTATAGGGTTCTTTTCTACTGTGGTGATGCCTTGGCGTTGAGGTGTGGTGTACTGACCTTCTTTTCGATCGGTTGGTGTGGGTTCTTTCGTGTGTTGTTTTGGTTGTGTTGATAGTAGGGCTGGGTACTCGTCGATGAAAACGCCAGTGGAGATGAAGGACTATGCGGCCAATACGAAACGTGTTCGCTCGGTGGATGAGAGCTCGGAGGACAGCATTGACAATGGGAGCTACGTGACGGACAAGATCCAGGGCGGTTTAAATGAAGGCATTGGCTGGTTCCATGCCAAGATCAAGGTCGAGAACACGATCCACTGGGCCAATAACTACAAGATCCAGTGCTGTATGTTTTTCATATTCATCTGTGGTGCCGCGCTTACGGTCGCTTTTGCCGACAATGATGCTAATGCATCAGTCGGACTCGTTGCTGGCAGTCTCATTACGCTCTTCTGTTGCTCAGCAGTGGTGTATACGTTTCTGACGCGACCGACGTGGCGTAAACATCCAAACCCCATCATTTTCTTTCGCAGTATCTGTGATATCTGTCTGGTCGCGGTGCTGCTTATTACGGAGCTGTACAAGTGTGGCAGTGGAGACTGCTCGAATTCGCTAACAGGAGCTTCGTGTACTGCAACGGCTGCGCTGACACAGTTTTTCCTCTGGACATCGGAGAGTTGGTTCTTTGTCATGGCAATCGACATGCTGTCGTCGTTGCAGAGTCCGTTTACTGATTACAAGAGCAACGTCCGCCGGTACCATGGCTTTGTATGGGCAACAGGTATGGAGACTGTAGTGTTGTGTGGAACGATGTTGGTTGGAGATCTTGGGCTGAACCTGGGCATTTGTGTTTGCGCGTGCAGGCCTTCTTACGTGTCTCCTGCTGGTGTCGATCCCGGATTTTGCTGGCGAGTCCGAGTTTGGATATTGTTGGACAGCAAGCAAAAGCAAGTTGCGTCGTGGCAAGAGCGAAAGCTCTGGCTCGAGCGATACGGGCAATCTTTGGAACCTCAATTTTCAGTACGTTCCCCCGTCGGTCGTTTACAGATCGGTCATCCGTACGTCGAAGGTTGTTATCTGATTGGAATTGCATGTTTTTGTGATCAGATCGTGGCTACTGTTCTACATCTGGCTCATTTTGTTCTGGATCTACGCTATCACGTACGTTTCCATGTTGACGACGTTTTGTGCAGTGGTTGTGCTTTGTTAACGAGTGCATCGATGTTGTTTCTGTGATTTTTTTCTTTTAGCGTTATCTACTGGGCGTACAGGCGTCTTAACTCTGGTCTTTCGGAGACACTGCGCATGCGTCTTCGCGTGCTACACTCGGTCACGATGTAAGTGTACTTGTGTTGCATGTGGTTCGCGAAGCAAGCGTAGTACTGACATTGGTTTCTTATGTTGTCGCAGTTATGTGATTGCCATTATCATCTACTGGGGCCTGTCGTTTTGTATCTACGTGCCGTTCTTGGTTCAAGGCAACGAACGGTCGAGTCGAGTCGAGCACATGATGAACTTTATGATTACATGCAAGGGATACTTCGACTTTGTGGTGTGGTTTCAAATGAACGATTTTCACGATGCGTTGAAGAAAGGCAAAGGGAAGAAGACGGACGTTGACGTGGATGTGGATTTGAGCCCTCAAGTGAACCTTGCTTTGCGCTGCGAAGTGTTGTACTACACGACGACGGGCATCATTCAGGCTGTACGAGACACGCAGCATTTGCCACCGGGCGCTAACCAGCAGGAGTTGTATTTGCAGCCACAGGGTACCGAAGACAATCGTGGATCCCTTGGTGTCGATGAGTACATGATTCGCACGCGCCCAAAAGCTGCATTGGGCAAGGGCACGTTGTTTATTGACTATTGCCCCCACACGTTCCAGACGATTCGTGAACATTTTGGAATCAACACGAATCAGTACATCGAGAGTCTGAGCCGGACAACAAAGGAGCGACTGAGTGAAGGCGCAAGTGGGGCTTTCATGTTCTTTTCGCACGACCAGCAGCTTATTGTGAAGAGTATGAGTGACGAGGAGTCGGTCTTCCTGCGCTCAGTAGCAGCCGAGTACGCCTCCTTTTTGCTGACGAACCCGGACAGCTTACTGACGCGATTTTACGGTTGCCACGCGATTCGGCTGTATGGCAATACGTTTAATTTCGTCGTTATGGCCAATCTGTTCAGCACGGAAAAAGTGATTCATCGGCGGTACGATATCAAGGGTTCCTGGGTGAACCGCAGCGCCAAGCACCCATCGAAAGGCAAGCGAGTGACGTGCCGTCACTGTAACGCCAAGTACGTCTTTGGCTCAACGGATGCAGAGAATTGCCGTGCACGAGTTGGTCGCCACGAACCAAATGTGATTTTGAAAGACAATGACTTGACAGCAAAAGTTCGCTTGGATCCGAAAGTTGCGGAGGAATTGTACGACCAGCTAGTGAAGGACGCGAACTTCCTGTCACGATTAGGGATTATGGACTATTCTCTTCTGCTTGGTATTCATAACGTGGAGTACATGGTGAACCCGGATTTGGAGGAAGAACCTGTGCTTCCACCGAAAGATGCGGTTGGTCCGAGACGTCGAAGTACTGCGAACAATTCGTCCATGGTGGGATCCAATGCTCCTCCCATTAGGGAATCGAAGCCACAGACAGGTCTTCCTCGCCTTGCAACTGGTACTCGTCGGGCGAACACCGTGGTCGGTCCTTCAATCTACTACTTCGGGCTCATTGATATCCTGCAGACGTGGAACATGGACAAGAAGCTCGAGCGCTTTGCTAAGACCAAGTTGCTGGCAAAAGATCCGGACGGGTTGTCAGCAATTCCTCCTGCTGCATACTACGAGCGTTTCAAACGAAAGATGGGCGAGATTTTGTCGGTAACCCTTCGTGACGAATACACGGAGTTGTATGTTGGTGAGCGGAGAGAGGGCAATGGCCCCGATCTGATGGACGCCGACCCGAACCGGCGTTTTTTTTAAATTGTGAGGCCTTGGTGGGAAACGAAGGCAGTGGTGACGCCCCCCACCGAGGGCCCGCCCTCACGGATCGAAGAAAACTCCACCCCCTCCTTGGCGGGTTTTTATGTTGACATATACAGCGAGCGACTGCGAGTCAGCGGGTGTACTTTTAACAATAAAGCACGAGCAGTTTGCACCGATTGAAATCCAGCCAAGTACGTGGCGACAAAGCAGTGACACAGTAGTTGATTGCTCCAACGAATCCATTCAACCAGTAAACAATGGATTTAGACAAGTTGTAATTTGACCATTGGGCTGCTAAATCAGTACATTTGTCTCAACCGCGATTCGGCTGGTGCTATATTTTTTCATTTGTGGCGGGAAAAAGCCAACTCTCTTGATTTCAGTATCGACTTTCCCTCCAAAACTCACGCGCCATCAAAAAGACCGTCTCCTCGTCCTCGTCCTCATCTTCGCAGTCGACTCGAGAGCCTCATGGCCCCGCGCCATGACAGCTTCAACCGCCGTCGTCCTGTCTGCAATGCGATCCTCAAGTGGCAATTGCAGCAGGAAGAGAAGCGCGTCGCCGAAGCGCACTACCGTCTGATGCGCATGTCCACGCCGTCGCCTTCGTCGTCTTTACGTGTACCCGGCAGCAGCTCTTTCGTCCGTCGATTAGGTGCTGGAAAGCCACGAGCAGAAGCGCCGTATCATCGTGAGCTACAAGCGCACGAACGACCAGTGGACGACACGAGGGCCTGTTTGTTCGAGTCGGAGCTTCTGTCGCAGTCGCAAGTGCGACACTCGCCAATGGCCGTGGCGGCAATACATGCTGCACGAGAGGTTTATTCGGTAAGAGAGGGACACCATGTGCGACGTTGCGACGGTCGGACGAGTGCAATACTTTCGGATGTTGAAGTTCCGACAGTGAACCGGGTGAGGGGGAGAGAAAAAGGGACGGATTTGTCATTGAATCAGTTACTGGATGTGGAGGGCGAGACGAAGATCGCAAACCGATGGTGGCCGGCTGCGAGGGTAAAGACTCCTGATGCTGTAGAGTACGATGTTCACGAGGCACGAGCCCACGCGGACCAACTGTCGGAGCCACCGCCAGGGAGAGCAATGGACTCTACAAATAGCAGCTTCGTTGACAGGTTTTCTGGCAGAAACTCGACTTCATATGGTACAGCAATTTCAGTCCATGGGAATAGAGAGCAGCAATCGGAGTCTCGTTCCAATGGAGCTATGCGCGGCGACGTTATGGCGCCAAGCGAGTTATTGACGGAACGAGCAAAGTCTTCTGCAGGGCAGCATAGTGAGGTTATAGCACCTGGTTGTGCCGGTACAAAAAGTGCCGCACTGCTAGCAGGAGGGCAGAGTATCGCGGAAATACTGGCATCTTTGGAGATTACATCAACTGGAAGTGAAGCACTCGATGGGGATTCCGCAGCTCGTGACAATCAAAACTGGGATGGGTCTGCTGATGGAAACAGGACGCAGCTCTCATGTGGTGACTTTGATTGTGGTGATGCTCCCTTGTCACGAACTGAAGTATTGTCTGGTGTACATTTCCCGCGGTGGAGCTTGATTGTGGTGGCTTGCTGTTGTGTGATTGGAATCAGCGGGTTTCTCACGGAAGAGTTGCTCGTGATCTTGATGTGGTTGTTCTCGAAACGAATACACTCTTCGTCGTCAAGATTCGACCGAAAACGAATGCGTGACCGTGCCGATGCTCTTCAGCAACAACTCCAGGTATTCCAGCTATCAATTGCCACGATGGAAACAAAGTCACAGGCGGCTTTGACTGGGCTTCGTCTGCTCATATCTAGGATGCGTCAGGACCGCGAGAGACATCAACAAATGCTCGTGAATGGAATGCAAGAGTTTCGCCATTACATTTCGCAAAGTGCGTATGAAATAGTCGAGCAAGAACGAGAGAGCATTCGCGCACGGCTCATAGAAGTTGTGGCACCACAAGTGAGTGACGACGAGGGTGTAGATGGCCAAACAGTTATTACTGCGGCCGTCGACATCGACAGTGACCTTCGTGAAGACGAAGACACTACTGGAGAACCAGTCCAAGTTATCGCCACGGATGGGTCTCTTGACAAAGAAAAACATAGTTTACCCGTCAACAACCATGAGGTTAGTGGCGAGCAGTTCCGTTTGAAGCCGGCCAAAGCTAAGCCAAGCCACGAGCTTGTACCTAGAAATGAGGTAGCCGTCTCTGCTACCGGAGTTTCTATTTGTGATCATGCGCAGGACCACGCTGGACCGAACGTTGTCGAGAACGAACTCGTGCGAGTCCGAGAAGTTTCCAGACTGATGAGCGAAGGGCCCATACCTGTACCTGAAAGTGAATTTAACAACATATCATCATCTCCGATTCAAGAAGTAATCACCCAGCGCGTACAAGGAGCTGAACCGGCTGTACTATCAGCATCCGATCAGGACGTCATCAAAATCGACGCTGTAGTCGCATCTGTCCCCGAACACATTGAGGCTGCTCGCTACGCATCTGGGAAACCGTGGGATGTAATCTTCATGGCGGCAGGTATCACAGTCCTTTCAGCCTGCTTTGTGCTCCGTGCTTACAACATCAACCGTCGCAAGCGATGGCTCGAAGAACGTCGGAGGAGGAGAAGCCAGCGAGCGTTGCGACTCGCTCGACAACGGGCAAGAGCCATGGCAGCACGTCAGGGAGATAGTGACGAGTGGAATTACGATGACACGGATGGTATGGAAGAGGTGTCGCTTATGACATATACGCGAGGTGTCGAGTTTGATGAATCAAGAGCGTCAGACATCGAAAGGTGACACGGATGTCGACGTTCCTGATACAACAAAGGATTGTGACTAGTGGAGACGTCTGCTGAGGCGAGTCCTGCAGGTCCATTCCGGGATTGCAGTCGGCTGTTGTCATTACGTTGTTCGTTCATCAGCGACGAACAATCACCCGCAACAGCCGGAAAAAGCTCTGGCTCTGATTCAAACGGCCACAACGATGGAGCTATTTACACAGTTAACACCAGGGATGATCTTCTTGTTGTCCAGACAACACAAGCAGACGAGGCGACATCAAACACTCGCTCACGTGGGATATGGATGGCTCGAATGTGGCATCGATCACTCCATCTTTTCGTTGGTCGTGTTATTGACACTTCGATTCGATGGATGTGTTGCGCTCCCTCCGCGTCCTTCTGTAAAGATGAACATTACAAGGTGGTGGCGGTAACGGGAAGCGCAATCAGTCGCAAAGCTTATTTGATCTGTTTTGCTATCGGCGGACTTGAGCTTGCTACGATTTACACCGCAACTCTTCCTGTGTAAATGCTTTCAATTGATCAACAAGCAGCGACGCCGGGTTTGGCCCCGATCAATCAATGAATCATCATCCATCCATCTATCCATCAGCTAATTGCTTCAGTTGACCCCTTACCAACCAACTCATTGATTGAACTGAATACTCAAACCACTCACCAGCTCCACACTCTCATAACACCAAATAGTCAACAAAATCAATAAAATCAACTGAATCGAAACCGCACCAACCCGCTGTAGCCATGTCAATCAAAAGCAGTTGCAGCATCGCAACATCCCGCCCCCCCCAACAAAGCGATATTCGATTCAACAGGGAGTCCAGCCCCCCGCCGTCCCCCCTCGAGCTTCCGCCTCGATTCTCACAGGCTAAAGCCCAACCAATCGACCGAAGCGCACGAAGGTGCATGTCCAATGAGAGCGAAGCGTCTTTTTCCGCCTATAACAGCCGCCCCTCGTGTCCCTCCCGTTCAACTGCCTAACAATGACGCTCGTCGTCCATCTCTCTCTCTCTCTGTGTGTGTGTGTGCTCTCTCTCTCTCTCTTGCCTGGATGCTGCCTCTATTGACCAGCCAAGTAGATCACTGGAGCCCACGATCAAGCCTTCGTCCCGACCATGTCCAGTGACGGAGACGCCACCGCCACTAACAACAGCAACAACAGTAGCAACGCCAACAACGTGAACCTCCAGATGCAGCTCCAGCTCCAGAACCAACGCGCCCAGATGCAGCAGCAGCAACTGGCGCTCCACGCGTTTTGGCAGCACCAGATCCACGACATTTCGCAGATCGATCCCAATGCTTTTGACTTTAAGACGCACCAGCTGCCCCTTGCGCGGATCAAGAAGATCATGAAGACGGACGAGGACGTGCGGATGATTAGCGCGGAAGCGCCCGTGCTGTTTGCCAAGGCCTGTGAGATGTTCATCCTCGAGCTGAGTCTCCGAGCGTGGATCCACACGGAAGAGAACAAACGCCGCACGTTGCAGCGCAACGATATTGCCATGGCGATCACCAAGACGGACGTGTTTGACTTTCTTATTGATATTGTCCCGCGGGATGACATCAAGCCGGCGAAGAAGGTGCGTCCACGAGAGAGAGAGAGAGAAGGTGGTTGGGTGGTTGCTTCGTTGCTGAGCTTCTTATGTGATGTGTTCTTTTTCTTGGTATGGCGGGGCCGGTAGGGACCCGTGGATCCTCAGGCAGTGTACCAGCAGCAGCTGCAGCAGCAACAAGCTGCAATGCTGCAACAATTGTTACAGACGCAGCAGAGCGGGGCTATGGCTGGTGGCATGCAATGGCCGGCACAACACTTGCAGCAGCAGATGTTGCAGCAGTACCAGCGGATGCAGAACATGCAGCAGAACGCAACAGAAGCGACGGGTGGACCTTCGACGCCGTCGAACGGAGTGCTGCCGAACTTGTCGCCGTCAGAAAGTGAGGCTGCTGGCCAGTCCGAAGCTAATGCGACCTCTGGAGAGTCGACGTCTGATCAGCTCTCACTGAACCAACGGAGCGTCGACGTATAAAAGTCCATTCGCCTGCACAGTACAGCCAGCACCAAAGTGGGCATGTTTGTAATTGAATGAATGACTCGTTGTTTCGAAGAGGCGTTGAATGTACCTCTCCTTTCTTGTTTCGGGCTTCACTCACCCACGTACTCCTGAACAACTAGGATCTATACCGTCAAGCAAATACAACTAACGAGATGCATCAGCGCAACTTACTCGGATGTTTTCACCGTAAATGGTAGCGGCAGCATCTTTGATCCCTTTTCGGTAACCTTCATGAGCTGGTAGCCCGCCACACCGCCAATCTGTAGTAAACAAACAACACCAATGCAAAGCCGTCACATCGAAGTCCTTCATCACACGTGGATATAAACACACGTCACATACCGCGAGTGCCATGCCAAGAACCGACTGGAACGTAACTGGGTTGCCAAAGTACAGCACGGCGCTAAGGATGACGACCACTCGCTTCATTGTACTCATGATGGAGAATGTGAGCTCCGTGACCTCGCCCAGCACCCACGACGAGCAGAAACTCCCGACAAAGTGCATCATGCTGCACAGCAGCACCTTGCCAAACGGAAAACTCGCGACAAAATTGTCCTGGTGAGCTCGCGCCGACTTGAGTACGAATGGTGCGTTGATCGCAAACGACACAAACGCACTGTAAAAGTGCAGCTGTAGAAGAAGCGCGCATGTAAGACGGATAATCTCACAACTTTTCCAATACCATCAACAGGCACGTACGTTCGCGGTATCGACCACAATTCGGCGACGCAACAGAAACTTGGCATACATACTCTGCATAACACCCAACAACGCAGACGTTACAGCAAACACCGTGCCCGAGAAGGCCAGGTCCTACACCAACACGACAACACAAAACGTCATCCGACACATTCATCACTTGTTGCGAGCACCCTCCACGCTACTACAATGAAGCTTACATTGATGCCCATTTCCGACACGGACGCCATGACAACACCAAAGACGATCGGGACCAGCGTCAAGTACGTGGCCACTGAGAACCGCGAGCGGTAGGCCACGTAAGCCAACACGACGTTGAAAAAAGGCTGCGACGCTTTGCAAGTTTGTGTGATGGACACGGGCACGACGTTGTAGCTCCAGTACGTCAACATTTTGGCCAAGACCGAAAAGAAACTGAGTGGTACGATCCACAAGATGCTGCGCATGCGAAGACTCTGCATACGCCAGGCACTGGCATTGCTTGGCGAGCTTGGAAACGTCAGTACCACAACTACAGCAGCACAAAGACACAAGTCCATAATAGTCAATAAAGCAGTAAATATCATACATCCATCACGTTAAATTCGCTAAAAAGTATGGCAACTTCATGATCTTGTAAAAAGTAGAATCCCTCTGGTACGTACAGTCCAGAAGGATGCTGACAAACAGATGGCACATCGTGAGCATCTCGGCCGACACGTGATGTTCCTTGATCAGGACTTTGTTAATAAATGTGGCACACATCGAAAAGAGGTACCACACACTCAGACAGCAGCCGATCTGCAGAAAAGTACGGATAACAAAGCATCAGCAGAAGCAGCGTTCGAGGAGAAACAGGATAAGCACGGACGAGGGTTTCGAGATGGACACATCATAAGATGAAGGACCGAGTATATTTCGCACCCGTAGTGCTTTATGGTCTCGTAGATGAGCAAGGGAATGGCTTGACGTGTATGTGTACCCTTTCAGTGGTACATTCAAGTCACCGCCCTCGAGGTCGGGCAGGAGGTGCGACGGGACTTTCATGCTCGAAATCGCACTTTGACTGACTCACTCACTGACTGCTTGTTTAAGTAGTCGCGGGCGTATTTGACAGTGGTGCTAGGAGGCGTGGGCTGACGCGTTTTGCTCGGAGGTTGTGGTTCACGTGGACTACACTAATTTGACGAGGTGCGACCAGTTTTGTAATCGAGATTACTACGTTGTAGATGCAGGTTTACAACGGTGAAGTCGAAAAGGCGTCAGCAGGATACGAGAGTGTGCGTCGTGACGTCTAGTAGCCCGGATTTAAAATGGTGCTTTACCTTGTGCGGTTTGTTTTGCTGCAAAGAGCAGAGTAAAGTGTAGCCACACAGCAGCAAGAGCAGGATAAGGCGCTAAGTTATGCAAACTCACGTTCGACTGCATCACCCGCAAACGCAAACGTCGTCTTCGAACATGCTGTTGCTATAACTGACTCATTGTGCTGCTTTTCTCGTCAGATGAATCTGGAATCTATGAAGATGAAAGAGGCGATAGAAGCAGCGGTAATAGGCATCAGAGAGGACCAAGTTGTACTTCCTACTATCCGCAAGTATCAACAACAACAATGTCAATCTTCTACATGTGCTGTCTTGAGACATAACCTACGTCTAGTCGAGTATCGTTGTATGCACACACTGAAGCGTACTACGAATACATTGGTACTGTCCAACTGCGCGTCACTTCTTCTTGCGAAGCGGTATCAACGTCATGCACATACTCCTCATCGTACCAACACACTGCTTGGAAAGGTGTAAGCTGTCTAGACAACTACAAAACACTTACCGTCTCGTTCCCGTAAAGGCTCAAGCGTCGATGCAGCGGTGTACATGTGTCACTTAGCTCCTTTTACTAGAGCCATGGACCAACCACGACATACCCCACGCATTTGATGTAGACAAACAGTGTCCTTCCAAAGGATCACACAGCACTAATTAACGAGCCGTCCTGGTCTTGACGTTCGGCCGGCATCTTCCTTTTTTACTTGCCGTCGTTACATTCGTGCTCACGACTTCGATGTTTCACGGGGATTCAAACAGACGTGCAATAGCTTCATTGTCGAGGTCAGAAGGTCGAAGCAAAGGTGCTTTTGTAAAACTTTGACTGTAGCTACTCAGAGCTAAAGACCAGAAGTCTAGAAGGACTGTAGGAAAGTATGCTCTGGACGTTATCAAGCGACGAGTAGAATCCCCCTATGCGTAAAGTTATGTGTATTTTATGGTATAAGAGGCTGCTCATACAAGTCAACAAGAGAGATGCTACAGGCTAAGCACATTGGTCAAATATGCACATACTCGAATATTTGAAGCTGCAGTCCCTAATTGACCACCATGAAAATCATGAACCTCATTATTTTTTTAACTTTTACGAAGTGTACCCGCCTAACATAATCATTTGAGTCAAAAATAAGACCCACTACAGCCAAACGCGACTGATGACCTCGACACTTGACGTCAAGTTGAACCGCATCGATCGTGTCTTCCATCCACATGTACGTCAAATACAACTGGGCCCTGTAAATAAATAATATCCACTCTAAATAAGTGAATACTTAACACATAACTCAATGGTACATGTGAACAGGAGACCGTGCAGGGCCAAGTCATGATCTCGTCGCCCAAGGGATTTTCTCACCAAGGTCTGGCCATGAAGGTGCAGGGCCGTGTCAGTCTGCAGCTTTCGACCACCAAACCACCTTCTGGATCTGCCGGCTCTCTTCCCAAGAACACAGACCCTATGGAGCTCGTGTACTTCCATCTGCCAGTAGCTCCTGCGGGTAAAATACCTGCTGGTCTTTCCACGTTCCCATTCGAGTTTGAGCTGCAGGGCAACGACGGCCAAGAACTCTTGGAGACGTATCATGGCGTGTACGTCTTTGTCAAGTACGAAATCGTGTGCGACTGCGTGCGGGGCATCATGAAGAACAAACTGCATCAAACACTCGAGTTTGTGGTGGAGGTGCCGGTACGTCCAGGACAAGATCCTTTTTTGTAGGGTGCACGTGGATGTAAACATGTTATCGTGGGTTGGCGGGATCTCTAGCTGAGAGAAGCACTGCTGGATTCACCGGAAGCGTTCTCCATCACTCCAGAGTCATTGGAAAATGCTCGACCGGTAGGTTGCTCATACAGTCGTCGTGTGTAGCTAGCTCACACTCGCGCTGTGCTTGTGTGCGGCATTTCAGCAAAGTCTGTCCGCGATGCCGCATTTCCGTATTACAGGCAAACTTCACCGCACGAATTGTCCGGTGAATCTACCGTTCACAGGCGAGGTATGACTCGATTCCTGCTGTAAACCGTTTGGTACTGAGCAAACCGCGTTCTTGCTGATGGCAGATCATCATCGAGGAAGCTACGAGTCCAATCAAGTCAATCGAGATTCAGTTGATTCGAGTCGAGAGCGTCGCCCATGCTGGCGGAGTTGCGAGAGATGGTACGCACGACACATGCAGTAGTGCCGTTGTGCTCTTTTTACTCGGCTAATGACGTGTTTGATCACGCTTTCTGTTCATTCATACCGAGGACAGCAACGGAGATCCAAAACGTTCAGATTGGATGGGGCGACGTCTTCCGCCAAATGTCGATCCCGATCTACATGATCTTCCCACGGTTGTTCACGTGCCCCACAATGCGAACCCCAGGCAAGTGCGACTTGTACACATGCAGCACAATGATGCAAGGCTCTGATTCGATTGCTCACGTTCATCTCTGCCAGCTTTCAAAGTTGAATTCGAGACAAACGTCGTCGTCCTCTTCGAAAACGACAACATGATTACCAAGAACTTCCCGGTCGTATTGTACCGATAAGAAATGGAATTGATGCGACGTGTGACGAACAGAAGCCTGTCCATGGGTGTGGAACGATCGCTATCTGCATTATCCATCTCGTACGGCTGTTTTGTTTTCAGCACGGCAATCCTGATCATACTTCCGGCTCCAAAGCTTCCAGTCTATCGTCAGTATCCAAGACTTACTTGGTGCGTTTGAAGATTCTACCAACCAGCAAGCTGAACACCTCGGATGGCATCATGGTCACTTGTGCGATCTCCTGGGACAGCGCCTTATACGTATCATCCTCGTAGCGGTGGTAGACCGCAGCGAGGTCGAGCTCGTTATACAGCTTCTTCACGACCGCAATGGCATCAGGATCGCTGCGGCCGTAGTTTTCCTTCAGCACATTTCTTTGTTCGGGTGTCGCACGATCAAGCGCCTGGACGACCAGCCAACTGCACTTGTTGTCCTGGATATCCGTGCCCACTTTGCCAATTACCTTCTCATCACCGTAACAGTCCAGGAAGTCGTCCTGGACCTGGAAATACTCGCCGATCTGCGCGCAGATGTTCTTTGCCAAATCGTGCGAGGCTTCGTCAACGACTCCGTTGAGGAACATGGCACACGCAGCAGAGAGGTAAAACGTATAATACGCCGTTTTGTTGATCACAATCTGACGGTACCTGCAGAAGGCACAACCCATCGTCATCCACGCTTCAATGGCTACTTATCGTACTTCAAATGAACGTACCGCTCGACTGTGAATCGATCGAGATCAACCTCTTTGTCCAAAGGCTGTGACGTCAAGTCCAGCAGCTGGCCGATCTCTGTATGAAAGATCACCTGATCATAAGCAAACAGCATGTGCCAACGCGATCAGAGATGCTATCGCTACCGCGGTCACCGCATACAACAAACGGCGTACATCGTGGAAAGTCTCTACCAAATCCAGATAAAATGGCTCAGAGCGGAAATGCTTCTTGAGGATCTGGAAGACAAAGGCCTCGAGCAGGAACGCATCATTGATGGCGATCATCTTAACATGAGGGTTGCGGAACCAGCACGGACGTCCACGACGTGTGATGGAGTCGTCCATGATATCATCAGCTACCAGGAAAAATGCTTGGAGCTGCATCAAATAAAACGAGTCACGTCTCCGACGACATCTCACGACCAGGAACAAATCCTCGACACGTCAACAGACGACATTGACCCACCCATTCGATACACCAGCCCAGAATACTGGCTTTCTCCTTCAGCTCTGGCGTAAGGACTTTGCCTGGAGCCATGACCTGTGTGCTACATCAAGCAAAGAATAGACCGAATGGTGCATCAGTCCATTGAAACGTAGGTACTTGGAAAGTATCTTCGCCCGAAACTGAAGCCCCGGTATTTTATTCGACGGTATTTTACGCACCAGTGGACGACACTGATCCCGCGATTGAGCTTTCCGCCGCTGCAATTATAGTCCACGACTTCATTCACCCAATCCAGAGCCCCTTGGGGCAGCTGGTGCTTCGTACGCAGCAGCTCGAGCGTCTCGAGCTTGAGCTTCGTGCACACTGCAAGGAATTCTATCACGACAAGCAGGTGGGAACAAGGGGAAGGAAAGACACGATAAGGATTGGGTAAACGCGTGACGAATGTACCCATGTACTTGTCCACCTTTGTGTTCCGAAGCCATTATTGTTGGCGGACGACGACGATGACGACGGTCAGTCGGTAAATGACAATAATGTTGAGGTAATTTATGTGCTTTCGAGTCTGGATATTCCATCTAAGTACGAAGCCAAGGCTTCGAATTAGGTGCGGAAAAGGGTATTGGAAGGCTATGCTGCGTAACGAAGTCGGTGTTACTTCAGTCTCGATGTAACCACACTGAAACAGATGGATTCTAATCTGCGTCAATGACGTTGAGCAACGCATTCGTTCAGAAGAGTGACAGCTCACTTCGAATATACACCGACATCTCACAAGCAAGCTCCTTGTACACAGACCGAAGCGAGTGAATAAATGCACATGTCTAGCTGTGATCCATGGATCCGTGCAGTCGTTGTGCACGCAGGTTTCACTTCACTCAATCACCATACGAAACGTACTGATTAACACTAAAAACACGAGCAAGACGCCGCTCCATTTCCACCACATCAGCAGGATTCGAGCAAGTGACACGCACTTCCTCCAGTTTTTTTAGTAGCTATCTGAGAGCAAGTGAGCGTCTCCTCATTTTGTGTGTACCACAACAAAGCAGCATGCACCTACTCTAGTGTCACGTCGTGTCTTCTGCAACCGACTCGGACCCGACCGGTGGATCGACAATACTCAGACGCAGTAGTCGGCCATCGAGCTCCTGTCCGTTCCACTCACTTACAGCCGCCAGGGCTTCGTCGAATGTCGCATACACGAGCGATGCCCACAAATGCATTGACGAGTGCTCGGGCGTCACAATCTGCGCCTTTTCCAGCCTCCCGTAGGCTGCAAACACCTCTTGGAGTCGCGTCTCGTCGGTTTTCCAGTGTAAACCTACAGGTTGTCGCGTTAGTCGGAATCGCAAGGACAAGGGAGGAGAGGGGCGGACTGTTACGCTAGTAGATCCCACCAATCACAGAGACGTGCGTCGATACCACGCGGAGTTGAGTATTCGACAAGAGAGGGACTCGTTTCTTCTGTGGTCGTGTCTGTCGAGCCGCTACGCTGCTGCGACGCAGGGCTTGCATGGTCAATTAGTGACTACCACTTCCGCTTGGATTATGGTTGTGGTAGTCAATTATTGTAGGATATTCCGTGATCGAGGTCTGTTACACTCTCCCAAAAAAAGCTAAATTTCTAAAAAAGCGCACTTTGCACGAACATCGCAGCTGTCCTCGGTCCCCACCCCATTTCTATACCTCTACATTGCTCTATTCCCATGTACAACCAAGTGACCAAAAACAGCCGAATGTCGTTCCCTTCACATACGAATAATACCCTTCACATGTGAATAATACCCTTATCCTCACACCGTCGCGAATAGAGTCCCCTTCAAGCTCAAGTCGCACATAACGAGCCCATGACGGACCCGTCGTGGTCCCCACCTGTCGCAGATCCGCTCGCCCGCAGTGAAGACGACGCCGCTCGTCCACTCGCTCGCGCGTCCGTGAACCGCCCGAGCGTCGTGCCCGTGCTGCAGTTCTGGAAAGCGTTCGATCTCGACAGCAGGCGCGTGGTGCTGGACGCCCAGGGGAGCGCTATCCAGAGCGACAAAGACGCGAGTGGACGGTCCCGGAAGAAGCTGGCAGAAGCGACGCGTCAGTTCCGTCGACTGGCTTCCGATACCGACAGGACGGTGGCTCTAGGGCCGCTGCTGAAGGCGTACCAGGAGGAGATTGACCACCTCACGCGTCGCGCCAAGTTTTCCGAAACGGCTTTTTTCCAACTGTATAAGGGACTCTATGCAGCTCCTGATCCCGCCGCGGCTCTATTTGATCTACTGGCTTCGAGCTCCGAAGCCGAGGCGTTACGGGTTGAGAACGCTAAATTAGCGCACCACTTGAACGAGTTAGAGACGGAATTGGCCGCGCTGACGACTCAGGATATTACTATTCGGAAGCTCGAGGAACGCATTACAGTCGCGGCTCGAGAGCAAGAAGATGCAGTGCATGAGCTAGTGGGTCAACGGACGAGCGAGTTGGCGAAGCAGCTGGAAGCAGCTCGTCTCGAGTGGACCCAAGAAGGACGAACTTATGAACGGCAGCTGGAAACTGCTCGTGCTGAGCTGCAGGAAGCTTTTGTGAGACTGGACGTGATGCAGTCGGAGCTCTTTGCACACAAGCAGCGGTCGGGACTGGCTCGGACTGCACTGGACGCAGAGCTCGAGACGATGTCGCAGGGATCGCTGCTGTCCCAGACGCTGCAGCTGGAAAATGTTCAGTTGAAGAAACAGCTCGATGAGCTGCTCAGTCTGTCGACGGCACCGGAGGTCTTCAATGGGCGCTCAAGAGATGGCACAGCTGGAGGTGAGACTGTTCCAGGGGTTCGAGAGATGCAGGCGGAACAGGATGCAGTGATGGCGTCGTTACGACAGGAAGTGTGTCGTCTCAAGGAGGCGCTTGCGACGTCACGTGCAGCTGCAGCTGAAGATGCAAAGCGACTGGAAAGGGCCCAACAAGGTATGAAGGATCTTGAAGCTCAACTGGCGGTACGCCCGACGATCGAGAACTATCATGAGGTGACTCGTAAACTGCGTGTGTTGCAGCAGCTGGAGTACAATGTCGTCGACGATGATGATGAAGGAAGCAGCGTGCAATTGTTGGACACAGCCGAGGACAGCAAAGCTGCAGGTGGACTGGAGGCGGCTAGTGTTGACGTTGAAAAAGTCCTGGTGGCTCGTGTACGTCGTCTGGAGCACTCACTTCAAGAATGCGAGCGGACGCTGCAAACTCGAACGTCATCACTGCAGGAGGTTCAGAGCGATCTCCACGACCGCGACGCTAAGATCCAAGAACAGGCAACGCTCGTTCGCGACCTCGAAGAAACTGTTGCTGCGCTTGAGAGAGCTCCACGAGCTCGTGCTTCGGGTGTTGTTAGCGACGACATTGGTTCGGAAATCCTCTTGGACGCTATGGAAGACCAATTTACTAAGACCTCGACTGCGAGCAGCGTAATCGCAACAATAGCATCAGACGCCACAACGTCGGACAGCAAGATGCTCGGGATTGTCCGCGGTCAGCGCGATCGTTTCAGAGAGCGTATGAAGGAGCTCCAGAGCGAGAAGAACCGCGTGGACGAGCTCGCACAGTCGTACAAGAGCACGGTGGTCCGTCTCGAGACGGACAACATGCAGCTGTACCACAAGATCCGTTACCTGCAGAGTTACGGTGGCGACAGCAAGTCTGCGACATCCCGTTTGAAGCCTGGTTCCAGTTTCGCGCTGGAAGACGGAAGTGCGGGCGCCTCTGACATTGAAGCTCGCTACCGTGGCATGTATGAAGCCAAGATGAATCCGTTCGTGCAGTTTAACAAGATGGAGAAGCAGCAGCGGTTTACGAATCTCAATCCCGTGGACAAGATCTTGCTGACGAGTGCCAAGCTGCTGCTGGCTCACCGCATCACTCGCAACGTGGCGTTCGGGTACATCTTGCTGCTCCACTTTCTCGTCCTGGCCACTCTCTATTCCTTCATGCACGTCTGCGCAGTCACGAACGTCTCGTAAAAAACTCCACTTTCTTGTCAAAATGCTCTAAAACCAGTACAATTCACTGTTCACGTGGGACAAGTGCCCCAAAACAAAACCCTCCAAACCAACGATTTCCATCCAGCTACTGATCTAAGGTAACGTAACACGCTCAACGGAGCCACGAAACCAACCAACCTGCCAATCCACAGATCATGAACTGGCAGACCGTCACCAAAATGGGGCTCTGGCTGCCTGTAGGCGTAACCGTAAACGCGCTGGGAGTGAGTCTCGCAAGTGTCAAAGGCCGGTCCATGCAGCCAGCCCTGAACGACGGACTGACCCAAGACGCCGTGCGGGACCGCGTCTTGCTCGACAAGTTCTCGGTGCAGATGCGCCATCGGTACCGGAGGGGCGACGTCGTTGTGCTGGCATCGCCCGAGGCACCAGGAGAGTTCCTGATCAAGCGCCTCGTGGGCGTCGAGGGAGATTTGGTCACGGATCGCAACGGACGGCGCTGGCTACTGCCTCCAGGCCGGTGCTGGGTCGAGGGCGACAATCCGACGTTCAGCGACGACAGCAACGCGTTCGGTCCCGTGCCGCTTGCGCTCATTGACGCGCGCGTCCTGGCCGTTGTGTGGCCATGGAGCGAGGCGAAGGTCGTGCGTCGACGGCTGCGGTCAGGCCGCGTGGATAAGGAGTAGGAGAAGTAGAAGGAGGGCTGAACCATGACGAGCATCGAGAGGTTCTTTTGAGGGCGGTAGGTGAGGAGGGTGGTGGTGTTGACAAGGGTGCAAAAGGGGGTAAGCTGAAGAAGGTGCTGTTGATGCACGTGGTACATCTCGTGTGAGGGACGACCGCTACGTGGAGTGACAACAGGACGGTTCGCGTGACGCTGGTATCTCTACTGGAGGACGATGTGTGCCACTTGGTGGTCATTTAGAAGCTGTGGCGGTGCTCATGTAGCGCTTCGGTCGGGACTGGTAAAGGGACACGAGGATGGAAAAGGTCTCGACCAAATGTCCAACAACGTCGAACAAGCACTGAACAACACTGCGCCTCTTCCCTTCGTGTCTGTGTCGATGCCGAGCAGTCCTTTGTCGATCCAGCCTCAAGGTCGCGTCCACATCAAGTGGATTTGAAGCTCAAGTGAACGATCCAGACGACGTTCGGTGGGCGGTGGTGCGCACCTGCTGGGTAGTGCAAAGGTACAGCACTTGGAAAAATGTAAATGTAAAGTCACTTGGGAACGACAGGTTGACTACTCTTGGTAAATACACATGGACACCTCTATACTACAGCAATACAACAGACACGACAGGGACGTGGTGGATCAAAGCGCTGCGACGTCACCCACACCCGATCCCCCCCCTCGAGGCAAACTTGGATCCTCTCAATTGCAAAAGCGGCGGACACGCGCCGAGTCCGACTGGCTGATGAGTGCGTTCGTCTTGCAGTCAATCGAGCAAAAGCTCTCGGCTGGAGCAAGAGCTTTCTGGAACGACTGGGTGCAATTGTGACACTTGCTCGTCTCCGAGTGGATCGTCGTGCCATAGTGCGACACGCAGTTCTCAAGCGTGACTTCGTCGCTGAGGATATAAAAGGCACTGCGACCCGATCCGGTCCACGGCTTGAGCGTCACGTAGCCATAGTCCACCAGGCGCAAGAACAGCGCCGCGCAGCCCGTGCGATTGGACATGATGCCGGCATCCATGAGCCAGCTCACGGCCTCGGATTGCACAAAGTACTGGTACTGGACCTTGGACCGTTTCGTGCGGGACGTCTGCGTCAGCACGTCCACTGCACAGAAAATGAGCTCCTCTTGGACGTCGCCCACTTGCTCGTTCTCGGACGATTCGCTGGACACAGCTGCTGACTCCAACCCGGACAACGACGCCATGGAGCCGGACGAGGCCATTGTTGTCGTGGTGGTAGTAGGAACCTCAGCCAGCGCGTGGCAGTGCGTGCACACGCGCACGCGGCCCTTGTACCCGAGCTCCGGGAGCCGCACTGAAAAGGGCGAACACTCGCCGCACACGAGCTCGCCACAGGCCCGACAGTGATGTCGACGTCGGGTCCAGATGGAAAAGGTGTTGCCGCAGCAGAGACACGAGGCACTGGCGGCATCCGGGCGCCATTGGGGTGGACTGAGTCCACTTGACCGTAGACTACTTGATGTTGGTGTTGGTGGTGTTGTAGTAGTAGTAGGATTGGTAGTTGCAGTAGGTAGTGGTAGAGGCAAGTCGCTCGTGATTATGGATACTCCCATGTCGCTAGTGATGATGACGACCTGCTTGCGACTGTATCTCGCTAAGCTGGTTGTATGACTAAGTTTCGAGCGATTGAGGTCTGTATCTACAGAAGCGCTTGCTCGGTGCTTCGATTTGTGGCTCGACGGACGCAAGACACGCGAAATTCGAAAGTGAACCGGCTAATAAGGTCGATAATGCTGCACTGGCCGCAGACGAGGCAGACGTGCGAATCACACGAGAACCAAGACCTCGTCTGCGGCGCATCCCCCCCTGGAAACTCGGTAGTAGCATTTGTTCAATTGGTCCGTTTGCATACAATTGGAGGGGAAAACGCTCCTGTCAAACAGCCTTTGATCCGATCGACGTTGACTCGTCATGATCGCTGCTGGAGATACATGATGATAGAGGTTGGACAGAATTCCGAGGCTGCGGATGTATTGCCGCTCGCTTGTGTAGCATGCGAACAGTTCGAACACCACGTGGCAGCATCAAGAGCTGCGGATCACACCGCAGCGTTATAGGGATTTGATACCTTTGACACCGACTTGACCGAAGACGAAGCCAGTACAGCGCTGGCAAATCCCCACTTGACATGGCTTCCCCACCAACTTGGCATTTTTCAGCGAGGCAATCCGTACGCTAGCAATCTAGCAGTCAACGTGCTGTTTCGTCTTACTCATGCACTAAATTGCTCTACGTACAGCTAAGATAGGTGACTATGGAAGAAGCCTGACGGTCATGTGAAAGCCAGACAGCCACGTGAGCTGGGCCTTCGTCGCAAATTTAACGCACAACTCTGGTCCTTCTCCACACACAGTTTGCCTGAGAAAACGGCGCCTGATTTTACCGTGGAAATTCTCCACAGGCCATGCGGGCAAGTCCCGCCTTCCACTGTTAAGATCATGCAGTCGTACAACAACGAAGCAAATCGACCCAAGCAAGAGATAGAGAGGCCTTGCTATCGTTTCAATTTGTAGCGCTGTCATCGTGTTGTCGAACGTCCAGCTCAGTCTGCGTGCCGGTACGGCACCCGCTTTGACAACCTCACTGCGAAGGCGTCTTGTTCCAACGTGCGGCGCTGACTATCCACGTGCATTCTTCAAGGATCGCCGGCTGAAAAAAGCCGTCCATCTGGTAACCACACGGCACCGCCTCTCTGCTGGTTGACACCGAGCCCGTTGCTACAAACATAATTGGGAAGTCGAAGGAGAAACCACAAGCGAATGTTGCTGAAGCAATACGTCCAGCTCAAGCACAGGACACCCATGGATTATAGTCGTCGTCTGACTCCGTTGGTCTCCTTTGGCCAGACACCCAGATGTCTGGGCGGAAGCAGATGGGCCATGGTGTTTGCAAATCAAGGAACGATGAGCTGATCCGCCTGGTGCTCCAGCTCTCAGTAAATCAAGCGAGAGTCTTTCACGCCTAGATAACGCCTTCCTTCCCTCTGCTCGTATCGTCCGCTCGCTCGTCTGTACGACGAAACAGCAGCGTCAGCGATCCCAAGCCTGCACAAGAGCCCAAAGGCTTGAACACGGCCAAAGCACTCAAGATAGGATGGAGCTTTGTGCATCCTAATGGCTAAAGGCTCGCAATACCGCCTGTCTCATATTCGCGGATCGTCGTAGCCAGAGTTGTCCGGAAGGAAGAGTCTCAGCCTGCTCTTACCATCTGAGCTGACGACGGACTAAGCGACGCAAAATGGAACACGCCAAGTTGGCAGCGGCACCTCATTTTGCATGCATATCCTGAGCGATTCCATTGATGGAGTCATTAACGCTGAGCCCGTGAGAGATTCGGCTTGGGTGAAAAATTGAAAGCATGCCGATCCTCCTACCAACCAGCACGTGGTTCTGTAGCAGACATCGTAGATCTACTTTTGAAACAAGTGGGACGAAGACAGTCACAGCTCCGCATGGCAGCTGTCGCAGTTAAATCAGACTGCTTGCTGCTCACTGTCGCACTGCAGGAACTGCGAGGCCGGTAACCCCCGATCTGCTGCACGCCTTAGACGAAGTGAGCGTTGCAGCAAAAACTCAGTGCCCGACCAGCCAGCTATTACCACCGATCCGAACGCTTGCCCTCATTGGGACGAAGAGATGAACGGCGTGGCATCGATACTTAGAAGGATCAGAGATGGTAATGCGTCGTGCCACGCAGAGGCAAGCGAGTCCCATTATTCGGACCGACTACAGCACTGGTGCTTGGACTTGACGTTCAAGCCACGGATATAATCCGTACACCATGCAGCAGCTAAACTCAGATAGACGTCCACTCCATCCAGGCTTTGTGCATCTGGCTGCAGCTCAAGCCAGTACAATGCAGCCACATGTCGCGTTGAAGCTGCTCGACGAGAGCTGAAGCATAGTGCGTGCAGCCATGCTACAAGGCAGTACAGCCTGATCCCGCACAGGACGCCCTTGAAGTGCATCTTGCGCTTTTCAGTCGTGCCCTACAGACTTGAGTGGGTTCGAGCTTCTAAGTCCAATGCTTAGCACCTTGATCCATATTCCGTCTATGCGAAGACCTAAAGAATGGGCGAGTGAAAGCTCTGGTTTTCATAGATTTCCGTGATGAAGAGCTAGTTATGCACGCCGATACTGTTCTGATGCCGGATGCAGAAGAAGGGTAGAATCTCCGACTCGATCTGAACCATCGCACGAGTCCACGTTCCGTTGTGTCACACGCCCCTTACTGGCGAGCAAGCTTGGCTTCGTCTCCTGTTTGTCGTCGTTGTCGTCGAAACTGTCTTCAGATCACCACTTCTCTTGTACGCGCTTGTCTATCTGGTCTTGAAAAGCGGAGCGCGTCTGACGGACTGCACGGCGTCCACCGGAATCAAGTCGATGAGCCAGTCGAAACGCCAGTCGTGTATCACGGTACTGCCTCGTGCAGGTCAAAGTGCGCTCCGCTTGACCCGAGCGTCGAGATGTTGCGTTTAATCGCGGTCGAAACGAGACTTTACGCAAGTGCAAATTCTTGATCCTAATCTGCTCCAAGTTATTCGAGAGGATCGACTAGATCCAGCAGCCGCTGGAGTTGTGCTCTTCCACCTACCGTCACTTCTGATGTCCTTGATGGTGATTGCGTCGGTGGTTTCTAGCTCATCGTAATCACCGGATCCAGCATTCTGAACGCTCCTCCCTCTTGATCCCGCTGTCTTTTTTGCGGCATCTATCAAGTGGACAGCCGTGTGATCGATCGAAAGACACTGAGTTCGCCTCGTTTGGCGACTGTTTAGAGTATTGAAACCAAACTGCCAAGTGTCCGACCCTATCGAATGCCACGAGCCCGTCTCGACTAGCATACCCCGAACTTTTCTCGAGCAACGATAGTTATGCGATCATCAAGCCTTTAACTTCAGTACAACGTCTTCTTCATAGCACTTGATATTGCGAGCTTGCTCGACTCGTCCACAGAAGACCTAGCTCTCCTTGGATCACAGAACCAACACGAAAACAGCGTGCTTGACCCGTAGCAACGACCCTTTCACTTTGCTGGGAGACAGATGATCCTCTTGCGAGCGGGTATCCTCTAGCGAGCTCTCGGTAGAAATTTTGCACCGGAAATAAGCAGGCTGCGAGGTTAGATTGCATGTGCCACAAGAAAGTGTAGAGGTAGACCTGACTGAGAAGCTACAGTGTGGGGGTTCGACTTGGTAGGTGCGCTGTGGGATCTGATGCAGCAATTACGCTGGTCTAGGTTTCGGGTCGATCAGGTGGAGCTCGACAGCGAACCCACTTGCTGCTCGATTGCCGCAAGTGTTGTCATTCATTGGTACTTGCCATAAGCTTGAGCGGATGCAGCAAAATCGACTGGGAGGCTGGGGCCATGATATCCTCGTTGCGAGGATGAACCGTTGCCAACACGCTGGTCAGTGTCATGACCATGCGTAACGGCATGGCGATAGCTCTGCTGATTAAATGTAGTGTGATGGTCTATGTATCTCAGATGCTGTCACTGAAATCTGGTTCCGTTTTCGATGCCAGCATCACACAGCGTTTCCACGGTCGGATAGTGATCCCTCATTCAGACGCCGGGGGTCCCATGGTCGTTTTTGAACATGTCTAGACGCCAAAAGTAGAGTGCGGAGCGCATACATCGCCGAGCTGGCGGTTTGGTCCACTGTCGCTCCACGCTTGTCGTAAACACAAGTGTAACACGAAGAGCAGATGAGACACGAAGCCCTTGATAAAGGCGCTAGTTGGCGTATCAATCGAGTACAACAAAGGAGAATGTAAGTGATTCGTCTGAGAGATAAGCGAGAAATCCATGACTGTGTGGGAAGCCTAAAGCCATGGTATGTTGCGACAACCTGTTCGCGCGACTAGCGATCTAAAGGTTTTCGCAAAGGTATAGCGTCGACAACGTTGGTTTCTTCGCACTGGTAGCCAAATTTAGATCGATCAGATTCCTTAGCGGCTTCTCGGCCACGCATCACAGTATATCAGATTTTATAGGCAGCCTTCCTTAGGTACATAATGGACTGAACAATTTACATGGCGCATCAAGACCAAAAATTCTGTAAAGCACATCATGAGCATCACGTGCGTGATCAAGCTATCGCTGTCAGTATTGAATCTGTTATTATTTGTATGTAACAAAAATAAGTAAGGGTCCATGCTAAAACTGGAGTTCAAGAATCAAGAGTCTGACCACTTCATCACGTGCGTGGCGGTCAAGTCATGATTTTTGTGGCGCTCGACGATTCCGCTGACCGGATCCTCTCCAGTAGCAGAGATACGATGGATCAACGACATTGTCACAATGGATTACTCTATTGTGACGAGGCTCGTGGCGTACCTCCGTTACACGATTGCGAGTCCGAAGGGTGAAGCTATTAATGAGTGTGCACAAGGTTGAATGCCGAACTTTGAATCGTACTTATCCGTTTGTGTCTTTGTCTGTCTGTGTGTCTGTCTGTCTGTAAATCATGGGATTGGGTGTACCTTACCCGTACTAAGTGCGATCAAGCTTGTCCCCACCGATTGTCGATTAGCATGAAAGGTGTCACTCT